GTCTGCTGCTGCAGTTGCTCGCTTGCAGTGGCTGCAGCTGCTGCTGCGGCTCCTGCAGCTGGGGCTGCTGACGGCGTGCTGCTGCTGCCATCGCTGTGTGTGCTGCATTGCTGCTGCTGCGGCCCGAGCTGTCCAGTGCTGCGCACGGCATTGCTGCTGCTGCTGCTGCTTCTTCTTCTGCTGCTGCTGCTGCAGCAAGCCAGGGAACTGACGCCGCAGGCTGCTGTTGCCAGCGGAGAGGAGCTGGCACTCATTGAAGAGTGCAACCAGCTAGTCATAGACATTGACACTGAGTAGGTGTTGCTGCTGCTGGTGTTGCTGTTGCTGCTGCTGCTGTTGCTGCTGCTGCTGGTGACTGCGGTCCTGCAACTGGCGCTGCTTTTGCTTCTCTCCTATTAATTCACCCTTGTGTGCTTTTGTTTCTTTTCTACTTGTCTTCAAATCAATTTATTTTTCCTGGATTGACCTAAACGCTAGCCAGTCCTCTTGCTGCTGCTCTCCCGCTGCTGCTGCTGCTGCTCTCCCGCTGCTGCTGCTGCTGCTCTGCCGCTGCTGGAGCTGCTCTCCCGCTGCTGCAGCGTGCAGCAGCTGGAGGGCAGCACGCAGCAGCAGCAGCAGCAGCAGCGGGGGCTGGAGAAGGCGTACGAGGGCGCCGAAAGCGGGGTTTCCTGCTGCTCCATTTGCTGCTGCTGCTGCTGCTGCTGCTGCAGCATTCTTGCAGTGCACCGGTTTACGCGGGACATTTACAGCATGAAGTTTCCCGAGTTGGAGTCCATTGTCCAGACACCCCTGGAGTACATTGCGGTGGTTCACCGCATTCAAAACCAGACTGTGGGGCTTTTTAAGTAATAAATAGTAAATAAATAAATAATAAATAAATAAAAATAAATAATAAGTAAATAATAAGTAATAAATACTTAAATGCATTTGTTGCTGCTGTTCTAATTGCGGAGGCTGAGCCAGTTGTGGGGGTGGGAACGGAGCGCTGCTGCTGCTGCTGCTGCTGCAGCAGCGGGAGACGCAGCAGCGGCAGGAAGCGCAGCAGCAGCAGCAGCAGCAGTGAACACTCCTACACACTCCCGGTCTTGCCTCTGCAACAGCTGAAGGCAACTGCTGATGAAGCTCAGGCATCTGGCTGCTGCTGCTGCTGCTGCTCTGGCGGCCCCAGCAAGAAGAGTGCAGCAATCGGGAGCTTCAGCGTGGGACTGATTTGCTGCTGCTGCTGCTGCTGCTGCTGCTGCAGGACCTGACTCAAGTGGACCTTTCGGATTTGCTGCCTTCGCCTTTGATTATGGCGCTGACTGTTGCTGCTTCTCTTTCTATTTCCAGCGGCGGAGGCAGCAACTCATCTAATGCAGGTTTGGCCTGCTGCTGCTGCTGCTGCTGCTGTTGCTGCTGCTGCTGCTGCTATTTTCCTTGCTGCTGGTTCTCTTGCTGCTCTCACTGCCGTTGCGGCTACCTGTTTACCCGCTGTTCAAACTGTTGCTGGTACTGCTGCTGCTTTTGGATTTGCTGCTGCTCTTGGTGCTGCTGTTGCTGTTGGTGCTGCTGCTGCTGTTCTCGTATTCGCTGCTGCAGCGAACCTCTTTGCTGTTGACTGTGTCTTCTTACGCTGCTGCTGCTGCCGCTGCATCTGTTGCTGCTGCTGCCGCTGCAGTTGCTGCTGCTTCCGTGTCTTCATGCATTGTAGCAGCAGCAGCAGCAGCTGCTGCAGGGTTTGGAGTTTCGCTGCGGCTGCTTTTGCTGCTTAGGAAGGCGCCTCCCGGAAGAGGACCTGGAGAAGGCAACAGCAGCAGCAAAGGAGGCTCTGGCGCTTGCAGAAAAACGCAAAGAAGTAAGCAGGGTTTGGGGTTTAGGGTTTAGGGTTTAGGGTTTAGGGTTTAGGGTTTGCAGCTTGTCCTAGAAGCTGTCAGCTGCTTGCGAACTTCGTAAACCGCGGCGTCGGCGGGATCCCTCCGACCCGCGCAGTGCCCAGCCGCGAACTACGGTTTAAGGTTTAGGGTTTAGGGTTTAGGGTTTAGGGTTTAGGGTTTGGGGTTCAGGTGCTGCAATACTTGGAAAGCCGCATGGCTTTGGTGGCCCCCAACGTCTCCGCCATTTTGGGCGCTGCGCTGACAGCGCGGCTTCTCACGAAAGTTGGGCGTTTGGAAACCCTCGCCAAGATGCCTGCGCAAAACATCATGGTCAAACCCTAAACCCTAAACCCTAAACCCCAAACCCCTGACTCTAAACACTGGACACAAGCCCTGGGTCTGAGGCTCCGGCTTGGAGACCCCTCGCGCAGGCGCTTGGGCTGCAGGGATTCCCCCACGCATCCTCAAACCCTAAACCCTAAACCCTAAACCCTAGTGAAGAATCCCCCACGTAGAGTTAAAGCCCCTTCTGCGTGAGGGAAGCAGAGTGCTAGGGGCGGGCCCGAACGCCGAAACCCTAGCCAGCAAACCTAAACCGCCGCCGCTGCTGCTGCTGCTGC